TACCATCAGAAGTACGGACGCGTACGGACGCTGCACCAGTTAGATTTAAAGCAAACCTCCAGATTTTTATCACAAAATTGACCTATATTGAACAGATTATGACCAAGTCCTTCGACATACGAGACTTTCTTAATCATAAATTTCCCATGAATAACATCACCATATCCAAGGATAGGTAGTGCTCGTTCCCAAACGTGACAGTACCACCAAAAGATTCAATAAAGTTAGATGGTAAATCTTTCCTACCAGTCATGTGTTTTGAGCATCCAGAATCTAAGAACCACATATGCCGGTTAACCTGCACATTGAATCAATTGGTTTTAGGTACCCAATTCAGTATGGGTCCTTTGATATTAGATCTGGTTGGTGGTATACTGTAATTACCAAACCAACTTTCTTTGAAAACATTTTTTCTTTTCACAGCAGATATATCATTATGAACACAGGAACAAGCAGTATTAAGAGCATGAAAAGCAGTAAAAGACACAAATTCATCCCATTCACAATAAGAACAACGCATTTTGCCTTTTGCATGATCAATTATTTCACTGAATGAATGTTTTTGTACATTCACAGTGTTATTCTTTACAGGAATAGCAAAATTTGTTCTTCCTAAGTTGATCAGATGATTTTGTAGATTCTATAGATGTAGATCCTTTCATCCGCCAGATACGCTTGAACTTCAAAGATTTATCTAAAATATCAGAAACAAAATCATCAGATTTACTTTTATGATGAACTTTATGTTTCAGATTTTTATTAACTCTCTTCTTTTGTTTCTTTGAATATCTTTTGATTTTATTCTTTTTATAATAAGTATTCTCCGAAACAGGTTTTGAATTATCAGGAAATTCATTTTCAAAATAGGAGACCTTATCAGAATTCTCAGTCTTTTCATTTTCATTTATAATGAAAGCATCATGACCGGGTATACGGGTGTAAATGATGCGAGTCGAGTTCGAGTATCACTATACTCGACTCGAACTCGAAACCGAATTTCCAAGCTCGAACTCGACTCGAAAACTCGCGAGTAGTAAAAATCAAAGCTCGACTCGAACTCGATAACTATTTCTCAAGCTCGAACTCGAACTCGAATCAAGCTCAAACTCGAGCTCGAACTCAAATCAAACTCGAACCAAGCTCACCCATTCAAATTTATGAAATTTTAGGATTTTTCTCTTATAAATTTTAAAACTTAAATGTGTTCTCTTAGTTTTTTACAAAACTAAATGATCAACTTCAAACTTCATCATCAAAAAGACAAAGTTAGAAATTACATTCACCTCCCTATCTTCTTATAACATTTTTTCTCCCTTCCTTTACCATCTTTCTTCCAATGTGGGACAATTTCACTAACCTTTTTTTATAGTTTTTCTTTGTCTTTTTTTTTTTAATTTTGATTTTAATAAAAATAATAATTGATTCGTTTTATAATTAAAAAATGCATAATTTTGTTTAAATATCTTAGAATGTAGGACATTTTTATTATTTATATTTTACAAATTTTATCATTAAAACTAATTATATATAAAATAATCGAGTATCTCACGAGCTTTTCGAGTCGAGTACTGTGTAGCTTGACTCGACTCGTTAATATATCGAGACGAGCTCGAGTTCGAGCCGAGCCTATTCGAGTCGAGTGTTGACCGAGTTTTGACCGAATCGATCTCGAGTAGCTCGCGAGTTGTCTCGTATCATTTACACCCCTAACTGGGTAGTTGTTGAGAGAAGTCAAATTTATCAATCTCTTTATCTAAACACGTATCCGAATTTATAATTTCAGAAAAATTAAGCTCCTCATTTGAAAAATTGACTTCATCAGGTTCAGAGGATTCACAAGAAGGTTTTGAACAAGAAAAATATTCAGTTTCAGTATGTTCCTCTTCTTTCTTAGTCTTCTCAAAATTTTCAATTTTATTCAATATAATTTCTTTTTCCTTTTGGAATGAAAGTCTTTCTTCATTTAAAATGTTTTCTAGTTGAACAACCCGTTTTTCTAAAATTAGAGTCGGAGTATAAGGTTTTTGTTCAACTGGTTTTGATTCAAGTTCTGCTTTTGAATAGCTATGATAACGATCAGTTGAAAGAGCAGGAACTTTGTTTTCATAACTTTCATTTAGTTCAGTATAGTTAAAAGGACTTGCATTTTGTCTTTTCTTTTTCTGTTCAAATCTTCTTGTTTTTCAACTTCCTCTGATGATTTCATAAACTTGATTTGATATTCTGGACCGAGGTCAAGATATTCAAATTTGTAAATCGTTGAAGAAAAATATAAAGCTTTCTTTAATCAATTCGGATTTTCGTATCCCAACCCTTCCCTTGGATTAAAAGTTCTGGTTTCGGTTGGTTTATTTAGAAAAATAGTTTGATCCGTTTGCCCTCTCTTGTACAACTTCTCTTCTAGGTCTTTGAGTTTTTCATTTAAAACTTTATTTTGTAAAGTAAGAGTGCTATTTTTCACAATCAGTTCATCATTAATTATTTCTAATGATTTAAGTTTAGCGGATATTTCAGATATTTTTTCTGTCAAGATATCCATTTTTTCAGAATTTTTTTTGCTCTTGGATAACAAAGATTGATCTCATGCAAAATTTTCAGCATTCAGCTTATCATATTTTTCTTGTTGCATTTTAAGATCTTTTTCTTACATTGCAACCCGATCTTTTTCAATTTTAAGTTTTTGCTGAAAATCTTGCAATTTGAACATCATTCCCTGCATCTGTTCAAAACATGAAGATTCAAGTACCTCATCACTTGAATTTGCTTCTTCTTCCTCATTCTCAGATATTTCATTCTCAGTTCTAGCCATCAAACAAATGTGTGCAACAACATTTGATTCCTCTTCTTCTTCAGTCAAGTTTAGCCAATGGTCATCCTCAGCCATCAAAGCTTTACCCGCATCCTTTTGTTTTGATAGAAGGAACTTGTTCTTATAATAGTCAATGTTCTTGGACACTAGCTTTCTACAATTCATAGCAAAATGTCCCTTCTTGCCACAGTTGTAGCATTTAGTATTTTCATCAGCTACTCCCTTTAGAAACTTTTTCTTTTCATCATTTCTCTTCTCAAACCTCTTTTCATCATACTTCTTTTTATCACCAAATTTATCTTTAAACTCATACTTTGAGCCTGAAGAGAATCTCTGACTGTTTGAATGCAGTTTCTTGTAGAATTTCTTTTGAAATGCCTTAGTTAACATAACCATGGCCTACTTGATTTCTTTAATCTTTGAATCAGAATCACTGTCAACACTTCCTTCACTTGATGACTCACTTGTCACAACCACTTCCTTTACACTTGCCAGACTTTGACCTAACCTTCTTCTCAGACACCAATGCCAGTGGATCACTAACTTCTTCTTCAAATCTCTAATCTCCAAAATTTCACCCAAAGATATCGGACACTTCTTCAAAAACTACAAATTCTTAATCGGACACTTAATCACTCTTCACAAAACTTATCCGGATAATGTGCTCTCTGGATACAATGAAATCAGTCAAATACTTGATCAAACTTAAACACTTCTCTGATTATAGCTTTCACTGGACACAAAGTTATCAATAAAACCCTTTCACCAAACACCAAGAATGCTTCACCAGATATTGATTTCATCAGATACCAACTTCACCGGATACCAAGTTATGCGATAAGGAAGCTTATCAATCAAAAGGTGACCGATTAGCAAGATTCAAAAAATACAAACACAATTACAAGCGATGAATAATATCGCTTAACCAGATGAGCGATGAAAGAATCAAAATCGGACAACCCAATCCAAACTCAAACACACAAATTCAATGACCTATGAGCTAAGCTTATTGCTTGATGAATTAATTCATTGAGCGATGAGCATAAACTCGTACAAAAAATCCAGAATTCAATCAAACTTGCTAAAATTTGAGTCAAAATGAATGAAACATACACAAATTTAGTCAGAAACATAGATTCAACAACAATTTCAACTAAAATTCGATCAAACTCACTCAAATTGATAAAGATTTCAAGAACAGACTCGAGTATCGAAAAACTCAAAAGTTCAGAATTGAATCAACATATCAATTCAATCATGAAAATCACATGAACAGATAGTTTCCAAACTTGAATTCGCACACAATTCACTATATTTCAATGATTAAACAACAAAGAATCGAAGAATTTGGGTAGAACAGTGAAGAAATGTTCAAGAACTTCAAGAACACATTCAAGAAAAGTCCGAATTTCGGTCCAATTTTCCAGATTATGGGTAGATCAAATCCAAATTGCTGCAGTTAGCTCTGATACCAACTGAAATTCCCAGTAATTCTTCAATCAAATTCACACACATAGAATAGTAGAAAGATGAACACCAAGAGAGGATTTGCCAAAGATTAATTTCTTTAATTTCTTCAAAGTGATTACAATGATAATCCTACACTAATTACAAGGAAAGAAAACTATTTATACCTACCAATTACAAAGACAAAATTAACTAGGAGAAACAAGCTTGAATACAATCTTTAAAGCACAAGCTTAAACCCAACAGTTGACATTAGTCTAGTCTGTGAATCTGTATCTTATTTGGGCATGAAAACACTCCTTGATGATCCACAACTCCAGTAAAAGAATTCTTCTGTTTGATTTTGGTGATGTCATTAAAAGAATTCTTCTGTTTGATTGTTTGGCTAAACAAATTGTAACATTTCACAATTTCATTTCCTGCTCCACACGGTGTTCGTTGTTACTTGTCTTGTTCTGTTTGCGAAAATAACCGAATTTCAAGCCAGAAACTTAACAAGCGGAGGATTAAGGGAAATAAATGCAACCAGAAAAATTACATAGGTTATATGGTTGCTGTGCTGTCATTGTGATCAAATTACTTGACTATCTTGCTATATTTTGTGTCGTTGTTAAGACAATAGTACTTCTGAGGTGGTGTGGTTTTCTGTGTTCTCTTTTTTCATGGGGATTGTCATTTGGATATCATGAGATGTAAATTTTTGTTTCTTATTTGTTCCTGGTAGGGAAATGAAGATCTAATTCTTGTTCATGATGCACTAGCATATGGAGATTGTCGTTTATCTCTTGCAGTAAGTTGTACTTTTCTTTTTTAAACGGGTAGACTACAAAACAGCAGTTATATCCTCAAAATTAAAAATATTTAGGTGACTTTTTCCCTGTTCTTAACAGATTCCAAAGTATGGGATCTTTGAGAAAATTAATTCAGTGAAGGAACTTATGGAAATGCCTCAATGGACTGCTGAGAAGCCTCTAAGAGTTGCTACTGGTTTCACATATGTAATATATATTTTTTTCGTGGCACTGTTATAATTTTCTTTCCTAGTATCCTAATTATATTGGAAGTTTAAATTGTTTCTTCTTTATTTCCTGCAGCTGGGTCCTAAATTTCTGAAAGAGAATGGGCTTCGGCATGTTGTGTTTTCAACTGCTGATGGGGCACTGGAGGCAGCTCCTGCAGTGAGACTTTGTTTAATTCAAGTTCATCTATTATGGATATGTGACCCGTTGTTACTACTTTAGATGCATAAATTTCCATGAGAATTGTGATGTCTATGCCTTATCTTCATATACATATCATGGTTGTCTCTAGCAGTAAATCTGTTCTATTTTTGAATTGGGCTCCTTGAGGTACCTTATCAATAGCATTCTTCCGCAATAATTGCATCAAACTTGATACATTCAAGGGGTCCACAACAGAAGAAGAAGGAACGAGTTTACTATTCACATGACACATACCAATTTTGCATGTATTGTGCCTAGTCATACCCATACACGGCCCTTAGTAAGGTGAAAGGCTTCATATGGTTCTTTTCGGTAGCATGACTGCAAGTAAAACTTCAGTAAATCCCTATGGATATCATCAGAAGATTTGAACTTGCAGGCATGTGATAAGCAGGAACCTGAGTCACACAGTTGTAGCATTACTCATACTGTTTTAAATTTAATGATGGATCTTTGATGGACAGTTTAGTTATCTGTCCAAATTTTGATTAAGAGGGTACATTTGTTGTCTCTCATTTAAGTTTGGCTCCACGGAATAATATGTTCCTAGCTTTTTAAGGGTGTTTCCCGTCGATGATGGCAATTTATTTGAATCTATTTTCTAGTTCTTATAGAAATATGTTTTCTCCAAAGTCTCTAGCCCATTTGAGCATCTCACATTGAAAGTTTGCTTCTTCGTTCTGTTTTAAAAAACATACTAGGATTTGTGTATTACATCCGATATATGTTTTCCTGTCGCCCTTGTGTTCTGCCTCCTTTATCTTTTCTTCGTTACTCTTTTTTGTATAACACATCATATTTTTTTGCCATAAAACCATTACCATGACCATCCGACAGCATTCAAGCTTTGATTTTGAGGATGATCTTATCCCTACCTCTATGGCCATGGCTATACTTGCTTTGTAAATGCACGTCTTCAGGGTACTGTTGTTTAAACAATGTCTTACAGCAAATAAATCTGATTACTAATAGATTCCCTGTTAACCATATATATGGTTCAGAGAGGGGGATGGAGGGTTGTAGGTGCCCCAACTGTATCGGAACAAAACATTTGCTCAATGCTTTATGATAGTTGAATTTTATATATCCACTCCAGATTGTATTCAAGTCTCTTGTCCCATTCCTTGGTAATCAAACAAGTTTCACCAGAATTTGTTGATAAATTAGATTGTCTAGTTAACATTATTAATAGTAGTTTTAATAGGGTGTGAATGCTTTATACTGTTATCATGTGATGCATAAATACTTCATGACCCATGGACTATCAATTGTTGCGTTTGGCGTCCTTGACCAAAGAAAACTTGTTTGTGAGCTACGTTTGCTGAAATTATATGATCATCTGATATACCTAATTGACCTTTTCAGAAGTTGGGATGGTATAAGGTTTCATTATATATTCTTGCATTGGATAGGTTTTGCCATAGACAGTATGATGATATCAGTGTGCCTTTCACTCCTTCCCAACCTCTGGGGTTTGTCCTGCTGGGTTGGGAGGACATGCTTGCTGGTGGGAGTCCTACGTTAGGCTGTAACTTTTTGTTATTTTAATAAAACTCTTCCGTTCTCCTTCTAATATCACAAATGGGATGGCCGATCATGAATTCTGTGAAGTTTTTAAGACCTTTGCTTTTGAGTTATATCTGTGTGCCTTTATGCATAAAACAACTTTGTATGTTTCTTCCAAGATGTATTGTATTATTATACTCTTCACATATTTTTCTTGCTTATTCAGATGGGGATAGCTGATGCTATTGTAGATCTTGTTAGTAGCGGGACGACATTGAAAGAGAACAATCTCAAAGAAATTGAAGGTGGAGTTCTCTTAGAAAGTCAGGTGAAGTTAATTAGTCCAACCATGCAAAGGTCGTCTCAGTTTTCAATTTTGCTGCTTTTTTTTGAGTAGAATGTTCTTCAGGCTGTCCTTGTTGCTAGTAAGAAGTCTTTACTCCAGCGTAAAGGTTTATTGGACATCACACATGAGATTCTTGAAAGATTCGAGGCACATTTAAGGGCACTTGGTCAATTCACGGTAAGATGATATGCATTTGTATGCTACCTCTTAATTCTAGAATTCATATTCAGTTCATGTAATTTTTGAATTTCTAGAACTTGTTATTAGATAATCGAGGAATTTTAGTAACATTATTAGATGCTAAATACTTTCACAAAAATACAGACCTTTTTATTCAAATCCAGTTGAGATGGGCTAAAACAGAAACCTGACATCCCGAGGCTCTAGAAATAGATTCCACGCTCTCTTATCGAAGTCCCTCAGAGACATCCAATATTTAATTCTCTCTTGACTACTGTCCTCATGCTAATTTTGGCCTTCCTTTACACCTAAAATGTTCTCCTCAGCTTTATAAGGACTGTGGAGTAAAGTCTTTGTACATAATCTTTTCCTTCATTTTTGCAAAGAGATGGTTTTCATGGCTTGAATGGATGACCTTCCAGTCATATGAGTTTCCCTGAAACTCGTGGCTTCAAAAATCTATATTCTTTTAAATTTGTAAAATAGTTGAAGATATCCTCTTTTTTTCTTTGAAAGGAGGGAGTATATTGCAATCTTAGATTACTTGCGACTTTCTTATATATTGCATCTCCGCAGGTAGTTGCCAACATGAGAGGAAGCAGTGCAGAGGAAGTAGCTGAGCGAATTCTGAGCCAACCATCGCTATCTGGTCTGCAGGTGACCCTTATTTTCTTTCCCTTTTCAGTGATTTGAGAAATAATGTAGTCTGGGGGGAGGTGGAAGTTGCAGGCACAGGAGAGCAGCAAGGTTTCTTTTTTTATATGTTCAAGCTATTCTTACTAGTGAAAGCAATAACTAGGAAATGTCATATTCTTGTCACACATTTAGATAATTAGTGGGCAAAACTATACTTTACCCAATGTGTTTGTCTACATGCAGGGACCTACTGTAAGTCCAGTTTTCCGCAAAAGTGACAGCGGGGTAAAAGCTGATTATTATGCCATAGTCATTTGTGTACCCAAAAAGTTACTCTACAAATCCGTTCAGCAGCTGAGAGCGGTAAGATATCCTCACAATCTTCAACTTGTTGGCAGCATGGTTAATAACAATAATATAGGTGGTGGTCTTTTTAGATACAAAAGATTAGAAAACCTTGGGACATAGTCAAGCCTACCTGGGGCATCTAAACCAGTTCAAGTTCTTTTTCTCTTCCTCTTTTGGGAATTTCCTGTTCTATTTAACTGATGGGCCAGCTCCTCCTATGGTACAAGTGCTGGTGCTGGTGCTGGTGGCCGTGGGGGCCACTTGTCCAATTTTTTCCCCACTTTATCTTTTAAGCTAAAAAATTTAGCGAAAAAAACTTTGGTTTCTTAGGAAGCTGATCACATGTCACACATTCAATTATGGAAATACAAAGCCTAGAAGAACATGTGTTACTTTTCAAGTTTTTTTTACTCCCTCTGTCCATAAAAATTGCAACAACTGACTCATGTTGGTATAACTGGTCGACTGTTGGTCAAATATCTAAAATACTTTCCATTATAACGAAAAAAAAAGAGAGGATATCCGAAATTAGCTTCCAGATTTCTAATTAAAATACATAAGGTGTACCAGAATGAATGCCTTACTTTTGTAATGATTACTCGGGGTCTATGCTGTTAATATCGCGATATATCGTCGATATATCGGCGATATATCGGATATCGCTCCTAGAGAAAATATCGGTCAAAATATCGTTCCCGATATTATCGGAGATATTTTCCGATTTTTCCCGATTTTTAGCGATATTTTGATGCAAATATCGGACCGATATATCGATTTTTTAGGGTTTAAATATTTGGGCTTTTGTTACTTCATGGGCCTAGTTTTTTGGGCTTGGTAACTTAAATTAGGTCTGAAATTGATCTGCCTCCACAACGGTCTTCTTCTTTCTTTTATATTAGCTCGTTTTTGAACACTTTAGATGATGTGATGTTTTAATTTTGAAACTATATTTCTAAACTCTAATTAATGCATATTATATATATAATTCTAAGAAATATTATGTTAACCGCAATTTTGGACCGATATATCACCGATATAACCGATATATCGAATATCGGTCCTGACCGATATTTCGTATTCTGACCGATATAACAGCATAGCTCGGGGTTTAGCACAAAAGTACTGAAAAAAGATGAAGATCTACAATTATTGCAATTTTCATACGGTTTTCCATTTCGGTATCCAACTCTGCAAAGAAATTTGAAGTCAAATCCAAACTGGATTGTCAATTTTGAACCTTTATTCTTACTGCTTTCATTTAATTTAAGTTTTTGAAAAAAACAGTTTAAGCAACTGTACTGCATTTTCTAGTATTATCATGTGATCTGATGTTATTCTATGCAGATCGGAGGCAGTGGCGTTTTGGTGTCTCCTTTGACCTACATTTTTGACGAAGAAACTCCAAGATGGCGTCAACTTCTTTCGAAACTGGGGCTTTAAGGTAATATGCTTTGTACCCATTACAACTATTTAACACATTTTTGTAAAAGCAGTTTGTAGATTTGAATTTTGGCAAAAACTATGTCTTCCTTTGTCGCCTACTCATAAATGATAATCAATGTTGTTTTAAGATGCAGTTCTTGAGTCTTTTCCTCACTCTAGAACTAGACTGCAGTAGATACTTATGTGAAAGTCTTATTTATTAGGATTTACAGTACCTTTCAAGTTGAAAATTAGTCCAACATTTCGTTTGGTATGCGGACTGGACTGGACTGGACTGAACGGATAGGAGTAAGAGTGAGGTAGGCAGGTGAAATAATTGCGGAAGGTTTTAGGGTTTTATTTTGACATGGGTAGTTTAGTAATTTTATCAAGCTTGTCTCGTCTACTAATTTTTGTTCCACCTATTTTGGTGGGGTAGGAGAAATGCAATTTTGTTCCACTCAGTTCTGTCCGATCTCAGTCTAATTGTCGTAACAAACGTGGGACAACAAGTTTATGCTTTGTGTTGTACTGTCTCGTGTACCAGATGCACGAAGGCAAAATTTAGCTTTTTTTTAGTAAGGCTATACCAGTTACTGTTCCAACTTAAGTGTTTTGGGTTTTATTTTATCTGTTTGTATAATTTTCACTGAATTTTTGTTTTTTTTGGCCCCTGTTTTCATTTCAAAAGACCAAAATGAGTAGACTTAAACTTACCATGTCCAGTGGCGGACTTAAGAATTTTCTTGAGCGAGTGTATCTTTAAGATAAAAATCATGTGTTTGATCAGAGGGAAAAGTCGACGCGGTTTGATCTAAGATAAAGTCAATTATGTCGATTTCGGGAATAATTCATTTTTTCAAATTGAATCGAGCTTGAACTTTTGAGTAAAATACAAGACTACGTTTTACTGCCGACGTGTTTTAGCTGAATTCTATCGTTATGGGAGACTATTTTGTTTTTTTGGTTGATTTCATAAAAATTTCCAATTTTTAGTATGATATTGATTGTCCTTCGTTTTTTTTCCAGGTTTTCAATTTTGTTTTCTTATGCATCTAGGACTCCTGGTATTAAAAAACGTCTTGCAAATCAAAATTAACTATGCATTTTATTTTGTTTTCTTATGCATCTAGAATTTTGAGTAACAATAATCAAAATAATAACTAAAAGCAAATTAGAAAATTCAAACTAACCAAGAGGAAAAACTTATTCTTTTGGAGAAAGTTATGGGGCCGTTTACCTAAATGCTTACCCGGTAAACGCTTACCCTTAGGAGTCAACATTGTAATTTATTTTACCAGGTAAGATTGTAGTACATCAAAATGGTATCGTATGCAACAATTTACCTAGAAAGCGCTTACTCGAATAAGAGTCGTCACCATCACTTATCGAGTAAGACTCTTCATCTTTATCATTGCTTTTACCGGGTAATTTTTTTTTACCCTTGTCATGTTCATCCGGTAAGAAAAATTACCAGTAAGCACTGACGGGATAAGCGGTTAGTAAATGACCCCATAATGATCAAACAATATGATATGAAATTAATAGAGTATTTAATGTGTTTTATTTTTAAAAAAAGTATTCAATGTGCTATTAAATACCTTTGAGTATGAAATTAAAAGAGTATTCTTTCTTCCTCTTCCCTCTTCTCTTCTTTTCCCTTTCTTCCTTCTCTCCTTTTCCCTCTTTTCTCTTCTTTCTTCTTCTCTGTCTCCCTATTTCTTTCCCCTCGGGGTGCCTTGGATTCTGGTAGTTGAGGTTTCCTCCTACCCGAGCACTTCATTGTTGCTGTTTTAACGTTTTAGTGTTTTATCTTGATCTGGAGGGGTCTCCTCCCTCCCTATCAAAAAAAGAGTATTCAATATTATTGAAGAAGTTGTTAACAAAAAAAACATGTGCAACATTTTGGTATAGAACCCCAAAACTCCTCTCAGAGGAGCTTTAATTCGACCAACATAAGCCATTCTTGTGATTACATATTTGTGTTACAGACTTAGTTTTAAAATATTCCACGACACCCTAATGATCAAGTGGGTGCAATTTCAAGACGTCTACATTTTTTTTCCTTTACGGTAATCAAGTGAGCGGGTGCACGGAACCCCCCTCAATCCTTAGTAGGTGCGCCCTGACCGTGCAACAATAAATTATTATACATGGCTGTTGGTATGGGTTGATTTCTAGGAAAATTTGCACTCAAACATAGAAAACATGATGAACGTTTTTCTAAATATCTAATATCTATCAGGGGCAAATACTCACATACGCTCATGTTTGATGAGACTTATCATTGAACTCTTGGAAGGTTGGGCTCTACTAGTAACTTAGATATTGTTGGGCCAATTACCTTTTCGTTAATAAGTCCAACGAAGACCGGGGGCACTCGGCATCCTCAGAGATCCCCATCAACCACTTATTGGACCGCCTACCAAACGATCTCCGAGAATGGCTTCCCGATGCGATTAGAGTCCACTAGAAGAAACTAGTAAAGTTCTTTCAAAACTTTTAGGTCATGTTTGTATTTTTATAGCATTGGGTGGAACACTTTAACGTACTAATTAATACATTATCCGTTGTGTATTTTGTAATCAAATTTGGATGATTATAATTGTAGAATAATCTTGGTAGTGAAGATAACAACTAAGAAAAGCCATAGTGGTTCTTAGGAGGCTTGAATTAACGACCCATACGGGTCCCAAGGTGTAACCTTTATTTGCCGGTTTAATCGACTCTCAAGGTTTTATTCTTGTGGAGTTGCTCTAAAAATGGACATTGTAAACTTAAAGAAATCCAAGATACAAGCAATGTAGCATTCTAAGAGTGTCTCTAAAGCATCCTTTAGCTTCTTGTGTTGGTACATTTCTAAAACAAGAAATCAAGTGACACATTCAAGAGTTTTCTCGTACATAATCTCTTTAGCTTCTTGTGTTAGTTTCCGTAGCTTTTGTCAAGCACTTTACCCCAACTTAGGGGCCGTTTTCCAACTCTTATTTGGTAAGAGTGCTATCATGAGTAAGGAGCCGTTTAACCCAATTGCTTACCCGGTAAGTGCTTATCGATATGAGTCAACACTATGATTTATTTTGATGCGTAAGATTTTAGTACATTAAAACATATCGAATGCAACAATTTAATGGATAAGCGCTTACCTGGGTAAGAGTCGTCATCCTTACTTACTGGGTAAAACTCTCCATCATGCTCATCGCTCTTACCCAGTAAGATTTTTGGCCCTTCTCATGTTCATCCGATATGGAAATTTATCCGGTAAGCATTTACCAAGTAAGCGTTTAGTAAACGGCCCCTAAGTATTATCATGGGTAAGTGTTGTTCGGGTAAAAGTGTTTTGCTAATGTTTCCAATTTATAATTATGTTTGCCATTGCTAATGCTAACACAATAGGAAATATTAGACATTTGAAAAAGGCAAATGATATCAACATGCTCTTCAAAAGCTTAATCAACTGTTGATCAACAAGAACAAAAAATCACATTTCCTTTTGATGGAGACAAGCTTGTCATATGGAATTAAGGATGACAATGAAGTAGATATCTTTAGCCATAACAAGACATTTTATCAAAAATAAAAATTACAAGTTCCAAGTAATCACATTTCTTTGAGACATTTTATCAAACACTTTTTGAGCATAAAAAGATATACCATATTCACCATACATGTCCACAACAAAGAAAACCCATCTCGAATCAATAGTATCAATCTCAAATATGATGCTTTGAGAAACACCCAAAACAAAGAAAACACGAGGTGATTGAATTTTTTACTTTACCAGAATCGACTTCATCAACTTTTTCAGCAAACTTGCGCACCAATTCAAGTTTCTCCACATACACATGTCCACCACTGGGTTAGGTTTCAGACATCACGTGAGAAATGTCCCTTTTGGTGGATTTTCAGATATCACGTGACAAACGTTTCAGACCAGATGAGTATCTAGCTCGAGGGGTGATGGAGGGAGGAGAGGAGACGAGATAGGATGGGTGTTCATTGGATCGAAATCTGTTGCCATGTCAAAACGATCAATGATCTTTGAAATTTCATAAACTCTTGGAGGAAGGAGATGGAACAGAGAGGGAAATAAAAGAAGAAAGGGGAAGCTTTTCGCCAAATGAAGGGAAGGGCAACGAGGGAAACAAAGAAACTGTCCCGTGTAAGCATTAATTTGGTGCTGGCTCGGTAAGATTTCAGTCAGCGTCTTGGTCAGTTTTCGGTCGGATCAGTGATTTGGTAAACGTGCTGACTGCTAACCTAGTAAGATTTCTTAACCGAGTCAGTCTGGTTAGCAGTTAGTAACAGCCCCTTAAACTTTTTCCGATGATCACATCATATTTTACGCCAAACCCATTTTTACACAATCTCTCAAATGAACACATCATGTTTTGCATGATTTTGGTGTTATAAATAGTAAAACACCATGGTCTAATAATATTTATTTACATCATTTTGGTGTAAAAAATAGTGTTTATGGTTAGCACTCAAGGTAATTACTAAGATCCTACTATTGATTTAGGTATAGAAAAATCCTTTTAGGGTTTTTATAAGATAGAAATAAAGGGCTAAAAGCTTTGAGAAAATATACTGAAAAACCGAATTGTCTCTGCAACTCTCTTTCTGCATCTAAAGTTCTTCTCTACTTACAATTTCTGTATCTACTTTGCTTTGATGTTGTTGTCATTGCTGTTGACAATTGAATACTTTAACTTTATCAAATCCTGGAGCTTTGCTATTTGAGACTCACAACAAAAGAGTAGCCGTATAAAACCTTTAAGGACATGATCTAATCCGTGCAGTTTTTGCTTCGTATCATCAACGATTAACATGTTGGTTTTAAATTCGGGTATTGTATTTAGTTTTTGTTCACCCCGTAAACACTCTGCTTCTACTCTTTCTTTATTGAATCTATCACGAAGGATAGATTCAATCTATGTGGTGTAAAAAATTCTGGTTGGAGTATTACATTCCGGATTATCTCTTCTTTTTGGCCTTGGGCTTTTTGACTGTTGAACTCTTAAAATATAAGTCATCTTACTAAAGTTTCCATTTTGAGTAATAAAGCTTAGGCCCTGTTTGTTTTTACCTAAAAAGCACTTAATACCCTCTTATGTCTGAATCGGTCAGACCTTAGGGTATTAAGTGTGTTTTTTTTTTCTTCAATTAAGAGTTTAAAAGCTCTGATTATGTCTGAATTATTTAGAGGTAACATTTTCACTCAAAACCTCTTAATTGCTTTTAGAGCTTCCAATGCTTGCAAAGAAAGCCTAGATTTCAATGATTCAGATTTCAGATTTCAGACGTAAAAACAAACAATCTGACTGATTCAGATTTCAGACTTCAACACCACCTCTTAAAATTCAGAAGTGAATTCAGACTTCAGACTTAAGCACCTCTTAAAAAACAAACGCCACCTTAGTCTTATTGTTTTTCGGATTTATTTATAAAGCTTTTAACTTTATTGAATATTAACTGATACCAAAACTTTTTCAACGATCTTAATTGTTTTATAATGGAATTTGGAAACGTCTCCAACTTTCTCGTAATGAATCAAGAGCTGGTGAAACTTGACCAATTCGACGGGTTTAATTGTATCCGTTGGGTTGATGAAGTCAAGTTTATGCTATGGTCCTGAAACTTTACTATGTTTGGACCTAAACTTGCCACCATTTCCTGCCAACTCGGTTCTCGAAAAGGGAAAAGAACCGGATATGGTCAAAATAGTCGAACTAGAGAAGCAGAAGGAAGAAGAAACCTTAGCGTGCGAACATATTAAGAACGCTTTATCTGATTGACTGTTTGATTTATGCTCCCTGATTACCGATCCGAGGGGTCTATAGAAAGCTTTGGAATACAAGTATAAAGCTCAAGAAGAAGTTACAAATAAATAACTTGTGTCTCAATACTTGTGATTCTAAATGGTTGCTAATAAACCAATCCTGGAGCAAGTGCATGAGCTTTAGGTTATGGTAAATAAATTTAAAGCGCGTTCCGTATCTCTTCCTGAGATCTTCAAGGTAAGGCAGTAATTGATAAATTGCCCCCATCTTGGAAGGACTTTGTAAAATGAATGATGCATAAATTTGAAGATTATTCTTTGAATGATCTGCTCAAACGTTTAGGCATTGTTAGGCAAAATTAAGCTAGCTTATAAAGTAGCTTATTTTTTGGGTACACGTTTGGATACACTTAAGCTAGCTTATTGAAACGTTACTTGGAGTAGCGTTTTGATAGCTTATTTTGTCACTTTTTTCAATTATAACCCTCATTAATATTAATTATTATTTATTACTATTAATTATTAATAACATTTAAACATTACTAATATATATTAATTATAAATAAATTTTAACTAATATAAATTGAAAATTAATTACTAATTGTATAATAATTATGTTACTTTTATGTTATTATTATTATAATTAATATTCAATATATTTACTTATCAAAACGTAAATATAATAATTTTTAACAATGTTTATGTAACATAAATATTAAAGTTATACTAATTTTGTTTYATARATAATAAAAAWGTGTTRAATAATTTGAATAAAATATTTAATTTAGTTATTAAATATATTTTTTGAAAAAATATTAATTAATTAAGATATATGAGGTAGATCATTTTTATTTTTAGTCATATTATATGTAAATGGTCATTTTACATTCTTATATGCTAGTCTTTGTCAAACATGATTTATTCATCAGTTAGTTTATCAACCATCAGTTAGCTTATCAACCATCAGCTACTTATCAGCCATCAACTAGCTTATCAGCTAGTTTTCCGAACATAGCCTTAAGAATCGAGGAAAAAGCTTGTAATCTGGATAACAGATGCAAGTCTATGTTGATTAGTTGTAACAGCGTGTAGGCTGGGAACAAGGGAAAGGGAAAGGCTAGAGGTTCAACCAAAAAGTGGAATCTGGGTCCAAGAAGAAAAGTTTCAAGAGATCGAGTCAACAATCCAATTCATGACAGAGTTTCAAGAGAGTCGGAAAATGTCATGATTGTGGAGAGACGGGGCACTATGCTCGTGAATGCAAGCAAAGGAAGTGTGGCCCACCAGCTGCAAACACAGTTGATCGTATTGAACATCTTGTGACAAATCTGCATATAGATGAGATCGACATGATTGCAGAAGCATCTTCTAGAGTGGTGGCTGGTAGGGGCGGTTTGTTCTTAGATTCTGGAGCCACAGTTCATGTTTGTGATTCCAGATCTAAATTTGTTGAACATGGTTCAGTGAGAGCCAAAAACAAGTGATTATGGCAAACAACGACATAGCTGATGTTGTTGGAATTGGTACCGTACTATGCAAATTCACTTATGGAAAAGCTGTTACCTTGAGAAATTTACTTCACGTCCCTATCATTAATAAGTGCCTTGTATCTTTAAGCATATTCGACTTCCATAATTGAATCGATTATACACGTTTGTTTTTTGCTTGGCCAATAAATCACCTTACCAGAAAGAGTAAATCCATCCACTTGTGGATTTATAATCACTTGAGTGATCTATCCAACCGACATCAGAATATCCCTCCAAAATTATCGGGTGTGTTGTTTATGTTAATTCTAAATCACTAGTTCTTTTCAAGTAATCTAATACTCTATTGGTTGCCTTCCAGTGGTCTGGATCGGATTGCTAGTATATTGACTTAATCTGTTCACAGCAAAAGCAATATTGGGTCTAGTGCAATGCATTGCATACATCGAGCATCGTATTGCACCCACATACTCTAGCTAAGCCACTGCTCTACCAAACTTTTTTTTTCTCAAGTTTCACACTTGAATCAAATGGAGTGTTGAACTCCTTTTTGTTCAAATGTTGAAACTTAGTCATTATCTTCTCTATATAATGGGATTGACTTAGAGAGATATGAGATTCTGACCTCTTTATTTTTATCCTAAGAATGGTGTCTAATTCCAAGATCTATCATCTTAAAGTTCGAGGATAAGTAGTTTTCCGCTTCAAGGATACCTTCTAGATTTGTTATGATGATCAACATGTCATCAACATAAAGATAAATTACTATAGTGGATTCTTTCGTGCGTTTCCCTACTAATTTTCATGATCTCTAAACTTGGGAGGAAACACCCATTTTTAGGGTTTTGTCAGATATAATCAAAGGACTAAAAGCTTTGAGAAAATATACTGAAAAACAAAATTCTCTCTACAGTTCTCTTTCTGCATCTAAAGTTCTTCCATATATAAACAAATTATGCTAAAAGACTTGAATCATCCATTAAAGGATGTAAAATTGATACAAGAGAAATGTGAGATCGAAAACGATGTTGTAGAATCAATAGATTTATACATATCACATATACATGCATGTGCCCATGTATATACATTTGTGTGTATATACTACACAAAATGTGCTCAACTTTAGATGACAAACAGTTCCAATTTTTGGTTTGTGAAAATAATTTTTTTTTGCCTTCTAACTTCCTACAGATTAAAAGAAAAGGAGAGTAGGAGCAACGAGTTTTCTTTTGAGAAAAATTCACTACTCTCACATACTCTCAACACTCTCAAGTCTTTCAAAAAATTTCTTGACTCTCTCAGCTCTTGCATCTCATTCTTTGTTCAAAAATCAACAAGGGTTTGTGATACCAAACATACAACACAAGTATTCTTCACACTCTAGTAAGTGTGTAAGATAGATCCAACTTGCATCCATATTGTGGTGTGGAATAATTAATAGCTAGAACTCAAGTTCAATTTTCAAGTAATCAAATTAGGGATGGTGATTTGCCCCGACCCGGTGGGGAACCGGTTCACCCGACCCGAACAGGGATGAGGATTCGCCGCTAAAAACAGGTCCGGGTGCCGGGGCTAGGGGATGTTACTCAAACCGGGGACGGGGATCCCCAGTAGAATCAAAATAAATAATATTATTTCTGGGTTTTGATCGGGGATTGAACAAGGTTTGACTGGGTTTATAGGTTTGACCGGGGCCATGAATGTTACTACAAACCGGGGCTGGGGCCGTGGATTACAAAACCCGCCCCATCCCCACCCTGTTGCCATGCCTAAATAAAATGTTTTGTAATCAAGTGTTCGTATGGTGTGTTTCCACCTTAAAAGAACAACATAGTGAATCGTCTCATTAACTTCACTCAATAAAGAGGATTAGCCCCGTTTTAAATGAACCTCTCTAAATTCGTTTGTATCTCTCTTCCATATATCTTTATTTTTGTTTGTTTGCTTGGTTATATTAAAATCTTGGTAAAAGAATCCATCTTGTGTATTGTTATATAATTTCTTAAAAATATTTTAAGAGCAATTTTAAACGTAAAACAACCTTCCTCCTCCAACGTTGTCCTATATATAGGAGCAGCTCTGGCTGAATATTTTATGTACCGTGAACGACACACTTCAATCATTTATGATGATCCCGCTAAACAAGCGCAAGCTTATCGTCAAATGTCGAGTTAAGATTACTAGTTTGATTCAAGTTAAAATGGAGTCAAGTAACTTTTACTGGTTAACTACATGCATAATAATGAGTTCATGATTGATATATAAAAAAGGGATTTCATGCATACATGATTTGGTGATCCATGCATGCATGCATGCATTCATGCATGAATATTCTTGTTTATTAGTTCCAGTAAGATGTGTAGTGTGGATTCAGTACTGAAGAATTCTTAGGCTTCTCTTTGTTTCTGGTAAACAAATCTGTCACCAATGGAATCACTGGCTTCTTCTTCATCGTTTTCCTCTCCTTATTCACATACTTTCTCTCTCTACCCTTCTCTCTCTCTCCTCCACTACCACCACTTAGCACTTGTCTCAAAGTCGTCGATGATCTCATCGACGCCGCCTTCCCCGCCACCTCAGCCTCTGCTTTCGCTATCTTCGACATGTTCTTGTGCAGCTCGGCGTTCAAAGAAGCCAAAGCCACCTCAGTCTCTGACTCTCTATCCTTCAACATGTTCAACTCTCTCTTCGTTTCTTCAAGCTCCGACTCCAGTTTCTTGAGTGTGTTCATGACCACCGGAGGTGGGTCTTCTTCGTTTTCCGGCGATTTCCATAAGCTTCGATTAGAAGCAGACGGTGTCAATTTCCAGTTTTGCGTTTCTTGTTTTGGTAGGGTGATAGTGGCCGGTTTGGGTGACGGCGAGTAGATTTCTCCGGTTAGAAAGCGCTCTCCAAAGACGGCTACGGCCTCTTTGACAGAGCGGAAAGGCCGGGAGGTGTCTACGTTGGGTTGGTGGATGTCGGCGGGCGGTGGGCTTTCGGGTAGGGTTTGGGTTTGATCTTCCATTTTGGTGGCTGGTGGCAGGTTCTCGGGTAGGGTTTGGGGTTGATCATCTTCTATGGTGGGTGGTGGCAGGGTTTGGGGTTGATCATCTTCGATGGTGGGTGGTGGCAGGGTTTGGGGTTGATCATCCATGGTGGGAAATAGGAATTGAAATGGGGTTTTTGGAAAGAGAGAAGGGTAAGGGTGGTTTTGATGTGGTGAAGGTGGAAGGTATCTTTGCTTGCACTTCAAATCAAAGTCCTTAATCTGGATGCTGGTGAGATACTGTGGTTTGAAGGTTAAGGGTGAAGGGATTGTGGAGTTTTAAAGACATGGACTCCTCAACAACTCCATTCATTGGCAAATGGGTCCGGTCAGGTCGGATCGGGTACATATCTAAAGGGCCGTTTACCTAAACACTTACCCAATAAGCGCTTATTGATAAAATTCAACACTATCGTTACTTACCGGGTGAGATTTGAGTTCACCAAAACGACATTGTATGTAATAATTTATCCAGTAAGCGCTAACCGTGGTAAGAGTCAGCGTAATCACTTACCGGGTAAAACTCTTGGTCCTTGCTTTCGCTCTTACCAGGTAAGATTCTTGGTCCTTGTTTTCATTCTTACCAGTTAAGATTCTTGGTCTTTGTCATATTCATTCGCTAAAGTAATGTGACTTGGTAAGAGCTTACCTAGATAAACATTTGATAAACGACCCTAATTGATTTATGATACAATGATTACCCAAAAACAAACTCAATATATTTGTGGGGAAATCATAATTGTTTTATTGATAAAACGTTAAATAGATAAAGTTAACTTCCTTTTAGTGGAAGGTTTAAATAAAATTCTTACAAAATATACTTCTGGTTATCATTCATTATCAATTCTTGTCCTTCTTTTAAACTAATTATAATTTTGGTCCCTGTGGTTGTCATTTTGTTTCACTTTTGTTCTTTCAGACTAACTTCTATTAAATAGGTCTGTTAACTTAAGGGGTGTTTTCGTCTTTTTCGTTTTTTACATTTACTCTAAACCTAATATGAAAATGAAAACAAGACCGTCGAACCACGCCGAAAATCCAAACAAAACATAGGTCGAAGATATTTCCTGTAGCAAATGAAGATGAAGCCTTGCCTGGGACCAAGATGAAGACGTTGCCTGATGGCGGGCAACCGTCACACCATCTCTTACCACCCACCGTCGGCCTCCCCCTCCCAGCACATCCATATTTGCCGGCCTCCCCCTTCTACACACACCACCTTTGGCGATCTCCTATGCTCCCGCCAGCTTCTCCCCTCCCCGAAGCACCATCTCCATGTCTTCTACCAACCTAGTGAATCGAGTGGAGAACGATTCTTGAAATTAACAGAGATGATTGAGAGAGAGTGAACAAGAGAATTGTAGAGGACGAACACCAAAACGTTTGTTCATATCAAATGAGTAAATAAGACAGGTATTTAAACTACTTAAAAAGACTCCTAGTCGAAAACAAAAACCAGATCCTAAAGCAAATCAATAAGGAAACTAAAATAAGGAATGCGTAATTAAATAAGGAAACCTCAAGACTCCTAATTCAAATCATCATAAAGTTTTCCACTGTCAGAAACGAAAACGTGATGCATAGGGACGACCTCATTTGATTTGTCCACTGTAATGTATCATCTCCTTCATCTGAAGAAAACCCTAACCCTAATCTCGGTTTATGGTTGGGAATTTTTGTTCTTTTATTATTTAGATTTAGGTTGCTAAGTTAAGGGTTTTGATATTTTTGTGTCACAAATTCTTGAATGGATTAAATAAATGCCTAGTTTATATTCTTGATAGTTGATGATTTATGTGTTCTTGATCATTTTTTGGGTTTTATTTTCTTTAAGTTGCATTTATTTAATTTTTTTTAAAATGTAAAAAACCAAAAAGACAAAAATACCCTTTAAGCTAACAAACCTATTTAACAGAAGTTAATCTAAGGGATCATAAGTGAAACAAAATTGCAACCATAGAGACCAAAACTGTAATTAATTCAAAAAAGGAACATGAATTGATAGTAAATAACAACCACAAGAACCAAAAGTGTAATTTACTCTTTAGTTTATCAAACAAATCGGATCGTTTATAATAAAATTACTAGTGTAATTCTTTTATATTAATTATCTTTAAAATTCAAAAAATTAAATAAAAAAAGTGTAGACAAGTCAACTCGATCCGACCATCCCGTTTTGACCCAAATCCGTTTTAGCGGTTACCTATCTTGTCCGACCCATTCATTTAGCCATTTTGAGCCAAACCAAAATTTGCCATTTTATGGATACGATTGAAAAGATGGTACTCAATTAATGACATGATATCTTTATCAATCATTTCTTATAAATTAAATCAAATTGTAAGATTTTGACATCTGAGTTTTTAAAAATTTAATCAAAAAACTAAATCGTCACTACATGACTAACATTCATATGCATTTTAATGCAAGACATTATCTGTGATGACGAAAGTTAGGGTACTCAATTGATTAAGTTGACTACTAGGTCAAATTGATCGTTACCTATATGAGATTAGCTATCGAAAAATGGTGTAATATTCTGATCAATCAATAAGAAAAGGTTGAAGGTTTGTCTCGTGATGACGAGAGGGGTTTTGAAGTCTAATAATTTGTTGACACGTTTAAAAGTTTCATGTGCATCATTGAGAAAACGTAACAATGAGATTCGTATGTATCGAAATCTTGCTTCTATGAGTTGTGAAGCGTATTGAATTATAAGATTTGCTTAAAGAAATTCGTAAGTCCCGAAGGAAAAACAAGCGTGAACCATCTGGAAATCCGTTGTCTGGTTTAAAAACATATCCATAAGTGCCAAAAATCAAGATCTATGAATTCAAAACTGATGCATGTAAAATACAAATTGTATATCGTTTATATTAAATGCTAATATTCGTCATCGTATAAGTTTTCCATGCGATGGCCTAGGACGAGGCGGTACTTGTGATATTTCGGCGATTCAACACACTGCCACTGTACTGTCCCCAGCCCTACATAACATAGAAATCACACATGGAAACAGGAATATTCACCTGTTGTCCATCGACTACGCCTTTCGGCCTATATGTAGTATAACTTCTATTTGGTTCCTTGTCTATACACTTCAACGTCTAACGTATTGATTCTCACTCCTCTCATTACCCTACTACTACCAGTTAAGCATTTATGCGAGTAAATTCTTGCAGTGTTTGGTAATTATATAACATATATTTTAAACCCCATTGACTGCAAACAGTTGTTGGGTGAAAATCACGACTCACCTAATTATCTATAACATCAAAAGCATTAAGAGGTCATTCAGGTGGGACCAAATGCAATAAGTTTTTCACAGCATCGTCAAAAGCATTACTTTTTCGAAACTTTTAAGCCGAACATAGGTTAAAATATGTTAAGTGGAATTTAATAGGGTTTCACCAATGACATTAAGAGGTCATTTACTAAACACTTACCTAGTAAGCGTTTACCAAGTCACATTATCTTAACGAATGAACATGACAAATTAAGACCGAAAATCTTACACGGTAAGAGCAATGGCAATGACCAATAGTTTTACTCGGTAAGTGCAAGCGTCGACTCTTACTCGTACTAGATAAATTGTTGCATACGGTGCTATATATTTGATTGACTAAAATGTTACCCGATAAGGTAAGTGATAGTGTTGGATCTTATCGGATAAGTATTTAAGTAAACGACCTATACCTCAAAAGTATTTTAAAATGTAATTTTCTTCACTTACGGAGGTTAAAATATAATTTATTTAAGGTTCAAGACCCATTACTTTCAGAAAGTAAATAAACTTGATGGTGGTTAAAATGTCAATTTAACACTCATTTAGGTATCTTTCATAAAGCCTAGGGACTATTTTGTAATTTCTAAAAAAATAGAAAACTGTAACCAGTTCATTTAGGTATCGTCGCCCTCATTTACTGGGTAAGACTTTTGGTTCTTGTTTTGCTCTTACCGGGTAAGATTCTTGGTCCTTACCATATTCATCCGGTAAGGTAATGTGACTTGGTAAGCGCTTACCCGAGTAAACGTTTGATAAACGGTTCCTAACTTCCCAACTAATGTGGAACATCTAAAAGTCATAGCCCTCGAGTTTACAACGTATATGTGAAACAAATAACATCACTACATTAGTTAGGATATAACTCATACGTCTGTATATCAACAACATAAAGCATGTATACAAATTTTGTTTTTGTGATGATCCAAAATCTAGCATCCTAGCTAAAAGCTCGTTAATCCACTAAGGGGCCGTTTACACAAAAACTTACCTGGTAAGCACTTATCGATAAATTCAACACTATCGCTTACTTATCGGGTAATATTTTATTCACTAAAACGCATCATATGCAACATTTTATCCCGGTAAGCGCTAACCATGGTAAGAGTCCTCGTCCTCACTTACCGAGTAAGACTCTCGATTCTTGCCTTCGCTCTTACCGGGTAAGATTTTTAGTCATTGCCATATTCATCCGGTAAAGTAAAGTGACTTGGTAAACGCTTACCCGGATAAGCGTTTGGTAAACGACACCTAATATGAATCAGAGTAAACTATGTGTTGTTGAAAATTGCTATTTTCGTCGTTGTTTTTTTTTAACATAATTGCTTCCTTGTGTTTTCCAAACTGTTATTCTTGTCTTTGTGATTTATAATTGTTGTTTTTTTCCTTGTAATTTACAATTCATTGCTATGTTCATCCCTCATACTTTACGGAAAACATCGACAGAGTTTGTTTCAAGAATGAAAACAACAGTGAATTGCAAAGTGAAGAAAACCTTTATTTCAAAAGCATAGGGATTATTTAGGAAAAAAAAACTTTTAACAAACCACAAGGACTAAAAACGTAGTTTACTCCGTGGGACTTGTGCTAAACTAAACCGGGTTTAAACAAAGACGAAGGATCGTGTGAGAATAGGAGTTAAGGTGAGGAGCGTAAAAAGTGATTTAGACATCACTTTTAATCTCACCCCACTCTATGAATTACGTTTGATACATGAATTAATCTATTGCATCTTGGTTTATATCATTACTGTTGATCTTTAATTAGGATTAATCCAGATATGTAGATTTATTCTTACCCTTTTCACTGTAACTTCCATTCTCACAAAAACCCAACTTTTAAATCAAAACTGTTTTATTTTATTAAATGTAGATGTCCGAAACAACTTGTACAACACTAAGGGCCCGTTTGGTTCGCGGAATTTGAAGGAATTGACGGAATTTGAATGATAAATTCATTTGACTAAATTTCAATTCCTTTGTTTGGTTCATTTCTAGAAATGGATAGAATCCTTCAAATTCCAATGAATTCCACAAGTTAAGGAATTCATCATTCCTTAGCATAATGGAAGGAATTGAATTCCATCAACACCCACAACGACCATGCTATTACTGTTTGTGATGCCCCACCCCTAACCCC